CTCATGCCGCTATGCATCAATCCATACAAGTCTTCTCAATGTCTCGGAAACAGTCTCTTTATTTATTTCAGCACAATAGCAGTTCGCCACATTTCTATACCATAGCTTGTTCAACTGTTTCCCAGAGGATGGGCACACCCTCAGTTTCTAGGGATTTTTTGCCACCATAAAAAGAGCTATGGTAAATATTTTTGCATCCGTAGGACTTTTTCTGTTTTCTTTGATCCTTTTGGAGTATAGGTCTAGTAGTGGTACGGCTGAACCAAAGGGTATGGAGTAGTTAGTAAATTTTAGGGGGGCCATAGTTAAAAATTGCTTTCCAAAATGGCTGGACCAATTCTTAGCTCCAAGAATATACCAATGCGCTTGTTTTCTAGTGGTCTCTGAATCACTTTCTTTTTTGTCAACTTTTTTCAATCTGGTGGATATGAAGAGGAACCTAGTTGGTTTGATTTGCATTTCTCTAGTTCATGAGTAGCCTCGAGGCCAAAGGTTCCCTACCCCTGCTCTAGTTATTAATGATCAAAAGCATTTTTTTTCATGTGGCTATTGATAGCTTGAGTTTCTTCCTTAGATAACTGTTCTTATCCTTTGACCATTTATCAATTGGGGAATGTTTCTTATTCTTATAAATTTGAATCCATTCTTTATATATCTTAGAAAATATACCCTTATAAAAAAAAAACTTGCTGCAAAGATTCCCCCCCCCCCCATTATGTTGCTTAGAGGGGTTGATTTTTAGGAGATTTTTACCTGCATTGCTTTTGTTTGTGGGAAAAAAACCTTTTAAATTTTATGTAATCAAAATGGTCCAGTTAATCTGTGATTCTCTCTATCCCTCGTTTGGTCATGACCTCTTCACTTACTGGAGCAAAGGTTCACAAGTTTAGAGCTGGATGGGACCTTAGAGATGACTTAGTATGACCACTTCATTTTACAGACAAAGAAACTGAGGCTTAATCTGATTCCAAATTCAGTGTTCCTTTCATTGCATCATGCTGCCTTTCACTGAACACCCAAATCACCGAATCTCAGTGTCATGGACATCTGGGTAGGCCTTATATTACATCCCTCCCCTCCTCCACTTTCATTAAACTGTAAACTCCTTGAGAGAAAAGATGATGTCGTTTGGCTCTCCATAGTGTCCATCATATTTCTTTGCACACACAAGGGTCCCGATGAGTATTTGTTGTATAACAGTCCACACTCAGAGAAACCCTCCTAACTGGCTCTGACTACATCCCGTGGAACACGTATGGATCTGGTCCTCTCCAGTGACACATTTGTCCTGGCTTTTCTGTGGGTCATGTGTCCTGGCTGGAAAACTTGGTGCTTTGGGATAACGCAACAAAACCTGGGTGCTCCTTGATCACCTTTGTGGCAGCAGGAGGTGGGGTTTGGAGAGGTGGCTGTGTCAGAGAAAATTGGCCACTAAGCCAGGAAGAGCTGCCCACTCAGTAAACCTTAAAGCCGGAATTCTTAACATTTGTTGTGACCTAGATCCCTCTGGTAGTCCGCTTCTAAACCCCTCCTCAGAGTGATGATTGAAGATATAAATAAAATGAAATATATAGGATTACAAGGGAAACCCATTATATTGAAATAAAGATGAAATTTTTTTTCTATCCAAGTTCAGAGTTCCCCTGAAATCTATGCATGTGGACCCCAGGTTGAGAACCCTTAAAGGGAATGAGTTTATCCTCTAGACCTCTGTCTATTCCCATCTGTCAAGTATGTCAGAACTCTGTAAGCCTCTCCCTGGGGTGGGGATTGGAGAGAGGGGAAGAAAGGCACCCTCTTCAACTCTTCCAGAAATGGCAAACTGATCACACATGGTAGCCAACACATGCGCTAGCCGAGACTGGACCTTAAAGCCCTGGCTCTTTCTTCTGCTCTGTCCTTCTACCCTGAGCATGGATAACTGAATGGTGATTCTGAGAGGGACCTTTCCAGCCTTGGAGGCAAAGGCTTCTAAGATTAAGAAGTCAGCAGTTCCTGGGTACCTTAGTCAGTCACAGCTGGAGTACGAGAGATGCCCCTTACATCTACTACAGCACTTTTTGGATGAGAAGATGACAAAAGAAATGCTAAAAACACAGAAGACTCCAAAGTATGCATTGATTTAAAAAAATTAGACATGAAGCAGTAACTTATAAATACTATTACAGGAGGATGATACTTAAAACATCAAAACATGAAGCATTATGCAGGACTGTTGGATAGGCATTTCACACTTGGCTTCATGCTGTCTCCCTCAAGGTCCACATCTTCTGGCAAGCCAGGCCAGGCCAGGAGTTGAACCCCTCCTTCTGGAGGTGATTGCCTTACCATATGTTATTGTACTAAAATTATCTGTGATATTAAGTGTAGCATATAGAGTGCTAGCCTTAGAGTTAGAAAGACCCTAATCTGAACCTTGTCATAAATAGCTGTTTGGATAATAAATTTACCTTCCTTTGAGTCTCAGTTTGTGATCTGTAAAATGGGATTAATAATAGAACCTACTTTGTTGGGTCATTATAAGAATCAAATGAGATAATGTATATAAACTGCCATGTAGAACTTAAAACATTATATAAATGTGAGGAGTTATTATAATTTTTATGTTACCTACCCTCTCAATGCCCCAGGAAATTTCCTAAGAGCATGAGTTACAAAAATATGAACTGCCAATCTGCTTTGGTGGAGGGTGTTTTCATGCTGGGAGGTCCCTACACTGGTGAAATTCCCTGCTTCCCCACTAGAAAAAAAAAGTTATTTGTATATGTCATAGCCTGTAGTAGATTGTTAGTTTCATGAGGGCTTCATATCTCCCCTAGTACATAGGATAACACCCTGGATGCCATAAGTATGTAATAGATGTTGGTTAAACGGCCAGCCAGAGCGAGCCCGAATCTGCACATGGGGAACTTCTTGGACAAGGCTGTACTCTTATAAATCGTCTGGGCCCAGTCAACTTTCTATTCTGAGCAATGACAGATTGGAGAAGAGTGCCCAGTCCTTGAACATAAGTCACAAAGAGAAAGGTCATCCAAGAAAAGTGCCAAGTCATAGGGCCCTACTGGGCCTCAGCGGGGGTGGGGGGTGGGGGAGGGTCCCTGAGTACATGCACTTAGGTCTGTGATGCACTGATAATCTTGCGCTGGTTTTGCTGGACAGTTGTAGTCTGAGAACAGGCTTTGCAGGCTCAGGGTCAGGATCAGAGAGCAAAGAGCTCTTTAGGTTGGGGGTCAGGGGATAGTGGATGAGGGGAAGGGGACCTCAGGACTTCTTCCAACTCCCTGCAATCACACACTTCTGATCTCCAAATAACAATTCCCATTAAGATTTTAAAAGCATGCCTTTTGGTTTCCAAGAGGGCCACTGACTTCAATTTATTGATTATTTGCTAGCCATAATTAATAAATTGACTATTAAGTGCCCAGTGAAAAAAAAGATTTTAAAAGCACTTCATTTGTACTTGTTCATAACACTCTTGTGAGGGAGGTAGAGAGCCCATGTTATTATCTTTACAGATGAGGAAACAGAGGCTCAGAGAGATTAAATGATCTAGATCATTGGCTCATGGATTTAGAACTAACTGGTAGAGACCTGGGTCAGACAGCTAGCAAGAGTTAGAGCCTGGGATTTACTCCCAGCTTTCTCCTGATTAAAAATCGGGTGCTTTTTCTGCCATGGGCCTGCTTCTAAACCTGGAAGCTTTTGACCACACCTTAGGTGCAGGTCATTCTAACCTCTGGAAGGCAATTCCAAACCCATCTGGGTCAAGGATCAGGAAGTAGAGGAAAAGTTTCAGATGTAAAGGTTTTTGAATCTTGCTTTCTAAGATGGGAGGTGATGAAAAAAGGTACATCTACTATATTATAAAGTGACATTTAGATGGTGATTTAAGGTTTGCAAAATGCTTTATCTCACTTAATGGAACCACACCACCTTGTGAGATAGGTACATACTCCTGGGATTATTATCTCTGTTTTATAGACCAGGAAACTGAAACTCAAGTTAATGACTTACCCATGGTCACAGGGCTAGCAAGGTTTACCAGCACTCTTGGAATCTAAGTCTTCCAGTTTCTAAGGTCACCTTTTTACCCACTGTAGCACACTGGCTCTCTCTAAAACATCTTTCCATGTTAAGAAGTGCTGGTATAGCCACAGGACCCAGAAAAGGTGATGCGCACTCCAGAACCCCAACCAAAGTGATCCATATGGGCATTTGTCAAGGTAGGAGCAGTCACCTCTTGATTCCTGGCCCAAGGCCAGAAAGATGAAGAGCTTCAAAGGTAGCTTCCCCCAAATGACAGTGGAGAGCAAACTGAATTTGGGAGTCTGAAACCCGGTTTCCAATTGAGCCTCTGTGACTTACCACTTATAGAGGCACCTTGGGTGGAACCCAGGCCTGGAGTCATGAAGACATGAATTAAAATCTGGCCTTAGGTACTTACTAGTTGTGTGACCTTGGCCAAGTCACTCAATCTCTAGTTGCCTCAGTGTCCTTATCTGTAAAATGGGGATAATAGTATTCTCTATCTCCCAGGATTGTTGTGAGGATCAAATGAGATAATATTTGTAAATTGCCTGGCACTTAATAAATAAATGAATGAATGAATGAAGTAGGCACTTAATAAATGCTTATGTCCTTCCTTCTTAGCTAAGCCTCAGTTTCCTTATGTGTAAAGTGAGTTCTATTCAGACTTAATAATCGGAGATAATAAAACCTAGCACATACTGTGCTCTAAATTTTACAAAGCACGTATATACACATATATCATATACCCACACATATATCTCTTTGTGCGCGCACGTGTGTGTGTGTGTGTGTGTGTGTAGTCAATCCTCAGAGCAATCCTATGAAGTAGATGCTACTATTATTCCCATTCTACAGATGAAAAAACAAACTTAAAAGGGTTTAGTGATTTGCCCACGAGCCACACAGCTAGTGTGCGACAAAGGGTTGATTGTAAGTCTCCTGACGGCTAGTCCAGAGTTTGCTCTGTCCAGTGTGCCACCTCTAAGCCGGCCCTGGTCATCCGGCCTCTTGCCCACCCACTCGTGGCTTTGCCCCCTCGGGAGGCCTCGGGCTGGCCCTGCAGGCCCCGCCCCCGCCCACGCCCCCCTCCTTCTCGGGCTGGACTGCAGGGCGGGTGTCAGTTTCCATCCCCCAGGCTAGGGGCGGGAGCGTGGCCCCGGGCAGCAGCGCCAGCACCTATCGCTTTCTCCATCGGGGCGGGCGGACAGTCGCTGGAACTCGGACGGTTTCGTGTGCCCGCCCCCGCGGCCGAGGCCGCCTTCCAAGTGTTCCTCTGGAATCCACGCTCCGGTAAACACCCGGGGAAGAGGAAATTGGCCAAGCAAACAAGCGCGGCCGATTGCATATGGGTGACTGCTCCCCGGGAGCAGCGCTTGCTGACGCACTCCCTGCCTTTTTCCCTACCTAGGCCTCCGGAGGAGAAGGAGGGGGTGGAGAAGGAAGGGGAGGAGGAGGGAAAAGAGTGGGAGGAGAAGGGGAGGAGAGTGGAAGGGGAGGAGAAAAGCGAGAAGGGGAAGGAGAGAAGGGGGAGGTGGAGATGGAGGAAGGGGAAGAGAGAAAAGGGAGAGGGAGAGGGAGGAGGAGGGAAAAGAGGAGGGGAGGATGTGTGAGCGAGGCATGTGAGGCCGAGGCTGCTGGGACAGATGCTTAAGGTTTATTCACCTCCGCTTGATTTGGCTAACCAACCCTTGGAACAGTGGCAGTTTATGGGCTGCTGGCCAGATGCCTCCAAATCTCCTGGGTCAGGGCTTTATGGAATCTATAGTCTCACTCCTTCGCTCTTAACTCGTCAGGGAAAGAAAATACCAAATCTACTTTAGAGTATTAGGGAGAGACAAAGGTGAATTGGCTCGTGTAAAGTTGTTCCTTGGGAGGATGAGAGAGGAGAAGATAATAAAATCCTAGTCTATGTAAAGCGGTTTCAGTTCCACGTCAATACTAGACAACAGCAATAACGAACTTGTGCTTTAAAAAATTAGCTGCCCAGGTACGGGTTGGGGGAAAACTCAACTCGATAGCAGTGTGAGAATGAGCCAGAGGTTTTAATGATCTAGAAACTTAATATGAGTCAACCTGCGAGATACAGCGGCCGAAAAAGCTAACGCGATCTGGGATGAGGGAGGGATTGTCCAACCCTATTTTAGCCCTGTTAGACCACATATGGTCATAGGCTCAAGAGGCTTAAAGCTGGAACAGACCTTAGAAACCTGCATTAAGTTCACCAACACTATCTCCCACCACTATTCCCCCTTATTTGACAGGTGAGGAAACTGAGACAGAGAATAAGTGACAAATGCCCAAGGTTCCAAATAGAGCTACTGTCTGAGAGGCAGGATTTGAAACCAAGGCCTCCTAACTCCAAGTCTAGTGTCCTACCCACCATACCTTGCTGCTCCTACATCAGGTCCAATCCTTTCATTCTTATGGATGAAGAAAAGAGCCATTAAGCACTTAAGGGGCTTAGCCAAGGTCACACTGGTAAGAGGTAGCTGAGCAGAGATTTGAACCCACATTCCTCTGACTCCAAATCTAGTGATGTCTGCTATTAAATTCTGAGTCCCATATATTCTTGTCGTTGTTATACCTGACCTGCAATTTCATGGATATAGAGAACTCCAACAATGCAGAGCGGCCACTCTGCTTGCAACTTGCAGTCTTAGAGAGATTAAGTCACAGAATCACAAAATTTGATAGTTGGAAAGGACCTTGATCATATAGGCCAACATATAGGAAATTAGTGACTTGGCCAGGGCAACAAAGCCAGTATGTGTCACAGGTTGGACTTGAACCCAGGTCTTCCTGAATCCAAGACTGGGGGTCTATCTACTGTACTCTACTCTCTCTGGACAGTGTATCTTAGGAAACACCTTGACATGTTTTGACACTACCTATTAGAATGGAAGGTCCTGAGAGCAGGGACTGTCCAAATCTTCCATTTCTATCACAAGCAAATTAGCACAGTGCTTGGCAAGTGACAAGCACTTAATACATGCCTTTTCATTCATTCATTCATTCATTCATTCATTCATTCACTGATTCATGCTGGAGCATATCCAGACGAGGGTGATCAGGGTGGTGAGATGACTGGAAGCCATACCATATAAAGTTCAGTGGAAAGAATTAGGGATGTTTAACTTAGAGAAGAGGAGGATTGAGGGTGCACATGATCACTGGCTTTAAGTACTTTCTTTTTTAGGTACAATTTCTTTCCTTTTTAAATTTTGAGTTCCAAATTCTCTCCCTTCTCCACCCCTCCTCCACCCAATGAGAAGGCAATCAATGTGATATCAATTATACATGTGAAATCACGCAAAACATATTTTCATATTAGCCATGTTGCAAAAAAAAATTGAGAAAAAAAAACCCATGCTTCAATCAGCACTCAGACTTATCAGTTTTCTTTCTGGAAGTGGGTAGTATTTTTCATCATGAATCCTTTGGGATTGTCTTGGATCATTGTATTGATCAGAATAGCTAAGTCTTTCACAGTTGGTCTTCCTTACAATATTGATGTTACTGTGTACAGTGTTCTCTTGGTTTTTCTCACTTCCCTTTGCTTCAGTTCACATAAGTCTTCCCAGGTTTTTCTGAAGCCCAGGCATCATTTCTTATAGCACATTTCTTATAGCTCTTCCATCATAATTATATACTGCTTGTTCAGACATCCATCAATTCATGATCATCGTCTCAATTTCCAATTCTTTGCCACCACAAAAAGAGCTGCTGTAAATATTTTTGTACATATGGGTCCTAATGGATGGGGAACAATGTTTTTCTGTATGTTCTGTTGTGCCTAGTATATTGTAAATGCTCAATAAATAGTAATGATGGGAAAAGAAATTGATTAGGAACTAGACTTGAACCCAGAACTGGAAGTTGTAGAGAGGCAGATTAGGATCCATGTAAGGAAAATCTTCCTAACAATTCTTGCCTGAAGTGGAAGTGTTCCTTGAAAGGTAGTGAGATTCCCCATCACTGGAGGTATTCGAGTTGAAGCTGGATGTCTGCTTGTTTTAGATGTTGGAGCTAGGATTCCTCTTCTGATTTGGGTTCTCCTGGGTGCCTTCCAGCTCCTTCTCACTCTGAGATCCGATGATTCCTCACCTGACTTCTAGGCACGCATCCCTGCTGATGAGATGTTGATATCCACAGGCAAGAGGAAAACTGGGTCACATTCTTTCCTCTCCCAAGAGCCAAGGAGGAATATGAAAACCCAAGGTAACTTGTGACTTGCAGAAATCTCAAACTCCAAAGTTGAGGAATGCAGAAGGTGAGGCAGTGCCATGGTAACAGCCATGCTCTAGGTGCTGGTTAATTCCTCCATTCCTCCTGCAGGCTGTCAGGCAGGGGACGGATTCTACATGACTGGCACAGCCTGAGCATTTAGGGCATTTGCATTTCTTCCTGTTAATGGGGCATTACTAAAATCTTATGCATTTAATTTCCTTCGTTGGAAAGGATCTCAGAGGTCAGCTAGTTCAGCCCATGCTTGAAGCAGCCATTCTCTCTACACCATCTCCTCAGAATAGAGTCTACAGTGTCCCTCAGAATGACCCCCTAGCCTTGATTCATGGTATATTGAGAAGACCACCAGGCCGAAGTGTCTGCACTGCTACTAATGAACTGGATGACCCTGGACAAGTTACTGGACTTTTCTGGGTTTTTGTTTTCTCATCAGTGAAATGAAGACCAGGCGGCCTCTACACTCCCTCTAGCTCTAAATTTGTGGTCAGGTCCAAGTTGGATTCACTTTACTCAAGACTCAAGTCACGTATCTAACAATCCATGACTCTGACCTCAAGTGACAGGGAACTCATGACCTCCTGAGGCAGCTCTATGCATCATTCAAAAGTGCTGATCACCAGCTTTTCTCCCTTATATGGGACTTTAATCTCAGTATGATCCTTGTAACTTCCCCTGACATAGTCAGAGGAGGAGGTAACTAGTGAGCACCCTCATTGCTCCTTTGGCCTCTACTGAATGTCAAGAGAAATGGGAAAGGGCCTCCACCATTTTGGATGGACACCCTGTGGTAGATTTAGGGAAGAGCATACAGACACAGAAGAATCCCCCTGGAAGGGCAGGCATGGATGGTTTGAATCTGTACTGTGAAAGGCAGGCAGTACTCCCAATCAGGAGATGGCAGATGTGATGGGCCTGCTCTGGTTTTCATTCTCTCCCATGGAAACAAGTGGACCATCCCCACCCTACAGAACACTGTTGGAGGTTTTCTCCTCTTCCCATGCCTCTCAATATATTTTAAATTCCCTGAGGTTAGGGACTATTTTTTGTCATAAGAGATAGATTTAGGGAATGGGGAAGGAAAACATTTATTAAGCACCTACTATGTTCCAGGCATTGTGCTAAGCACTTTATAAATATTATCTCATTTGATCCTCACAACAGCCCTGGGAGGTATATGCTATGATTTCTCCCATTTTATAGTTGGGGAAAACTGAGACAGAAGCTAAGTGACTTGCCCAGGGTCACACAGCTAGCAAGTGTATAAGGTCAGATTTGAACTCGGGTCTTCCCGACTTCAGTCTTAGTGTTCTATCTATCATATTGTGCCCTCTTTATATTCTCTTTGCCTCACACAGTGCTTGGCACGTAGTAGAAACTTACTAAGTGTTTGTTGAATTGGATTGGATTTCATAAGACAGCCTTTCAGATATCTGAAATCAGCAGCTATGTCCCCCCTCCCTCTTAAGTCCTTCTTTCCTAGACTAAGCATCCTCAGTTCCAGCCACCAATTCAGTTAAATTATACTGAATTCGATTCAGCAAATATTTAAGTACTTGCTACCTGCAAGGCACTGTTATAGGCATTGGGGGATCAATGAAACAATGAAACAGTCGCTTCTGTCAAGAAGCTTGTTGGGAGGGTTGGGGGGCAGGGGAGGATGGGGGTTGGGAGGTGGGGAAGATGTAACAAATGCATAGATAAGGAAATACTGTCACATGAGGGGCAGGGAGAGTTCAAATCACTTAGATGAACCCTCCCAAAGCATGGTCTCTACTTCCCTCGCCATCCTGATTCTCCTCTTCAGCCTGCCAACGCCCCCTCCTAAAATGTGGTGCCCGGAAATGAATGCAGCATTCCTGATGGGGTCTGTCTGAGTGAGTCGGAGGCCAGGGGGATGATGGATCACCTCCCTTCTTCAAGCAGCCAGATTCCCATTCAGCTCAACTTCCCCAGGGCCAAAGGTACCACCAGGCTCTGAAGAGTTGTTACCAGGTGATTTCATCACGGCATCATCACCTAAATATCTAAGTTGTTTGAAAGGTTTGTGAAAATGGCATTGTATTGATTTTTCCCTGTGTCACTTTCATTTTTAGTATTTCTGCTGTTTTTTCTTTTCTGGAATTATCACTTGGCTAGGAAGCAACCTGGTGGGGTAAAAGGAGCTTCGGTTTTAGAGCCCTAAGATAGGGTTCCTTCTGTGAACTTGGGTCTCACTGGGCCTCAGTTTCCCCATCTAGAAAATAAGGGGGCTGTACTAGGTGAGCCTTGAGGTCTTGCTCAGCTCCAAATCCTTTGTATAGAAAGCTAAGGTGTGATTCTGTGGTTTGTAAGCACATCCGCAGACAAAATGCAAATAAATGCTCTTTTAATGGTATTTGTGGGCTTTTAAAGCATAGATGTGTTTGTATGTGTATACACATATATATGTGTATACATATACATATGTTGTTGTTATTATTTATGACCATCAATGATTGGTTAGCCATCTACTGGAATGGCTAAAATAATTTGGCTTCCATTACCCAGACTTAATTTGGCTTTAGGCCTTAACCAATCATTGCTAGTCATAAATAATCATAACAATTTATGAAATCCTTACAAAGTTCTTTACATATGTAGCTTGTTTGGCCCTTACAACAATCCCTATAAAGACTGTGCAAATACAGGATGTCCTAAGAGTCTTGGTACAGTTTTAAGTGGCTTGAGACTGTACCAAGACTTTTAGAACAGTATATTTTCTCCATTTTACAGAGGAGAAAACTGAGGTTTGGAGTGGTTCTTTGACTCTCTCATCACACAGTTATCTGGTATTTAAACATAAGTCTTTCAGTCCCAAGTCCAGTGCTCAAAGACCCTGTATGCAATCAATCAGCTTCTCAGAGTTGTCTATTTCATTGTTGTATCTTTCTAGCTGGTAGAAAGTTCGCTCTTATTTTGATTTGAATTAGTCCTAGTTCTAACTTGAAAGGCTTTTATGTTAGGGAAAAAGAGGGAAAGATAATAGTTTGGAAAGAAGCTGCCTTGGGGCAGCCGTGGCTGAAGAGCAGGCACAGGTCGAGCTGTTCATCAAGGCTGGCAGTGATGGTGCCAAGATTGGGAACTGCCCCTTCTCCCGAAGACTTTTCATGGTGCTCTGGCTTAAGGGTGTCACCTTCAATGTCACCACTGTAGACACCAAGAAGAGAACAGAGACAGTACAGAAGTTGTGTCCTGGAGGTCAGCTCCCATTTTTACTGTATGGCACTAACAAGATTGAAGAGTTTTTGGAGGAGGTGCTGAGTCCCCCTAGGTACCCCAACTTGGCAGCTAAGAACCCAGAATCCAACACAGCTGGACTAGATGTCTTCGCCAAATTTTCTGCCTACATCAAGAATTCAAATCCAGCACTCAATGCCAACTTGGAAAAGGGGCTGTTGAAAGCCCTGAAGGTTCTTGACAACTATCTGACATCACCACTTCCTGAGGAGATTGATGAGACAAGTGCAGAAGATGAAGGTGTTTCCCACAGAAAGTTTCTGGATGGTGATCAGCTTACACCGGCTGATTGCAACCTACTGCCCAGGCTCCACATTGTACAGGTTGTATGTAAGAAATATCGGGGATTTTCTAATCCAGAGGAGTTTCGAGGGGTGCAAAGATACCTGCGAAATGCTTATGCCAGAGAGGAATTTGCCTCTACCTGTCCAGATGCTGAGGAGATAGAGCTGGCCCATGAGCTAGTAGCCAAAGCCCTCCAGTAGCCATGGACAGAGCTTCTTTCCTCCTCTACCCTGCTACTTCTTTCACAAATGGCCTGATAAGGCCAATGAACACATTTCAAGATGGCCACTGAGCACAGAATTTTGAAATAAAGTACAGAAGGGCAGGGAAGGTTGTTGGGGAGCAGGGTGGGGAGGCAAATGAGTGGGATTTTTTTGGAAAGGGATAGGATGAAAATATTTCAATAATAAAACAGTTAAAATACAAAAAAAAAAAAGAAGCTGCCTTGGTAAAAATGGCTTTTTACATCAAAGAAAAATCTTTCTCTTTCTTCCCAAGTCTCCTTTTTTGGTGTGCTTTTCTTCTAATCGGTTTTCCTATCCATACTCATGTGCTGAGTGCCCCACCTTCTTCAAATTTTATTCATAGCACCAGTACTAGGCCTCTACTCCAAAGAGATCAAAGAAACAATATTTAGAATAGCTCTTTTTTGGTGGCAAAGAATTGGAAACCAAGGGAGTGCCCATCAATTGGGAAAAGGCTGAACAAGTTGTGGTATATGAATGTGATAGAATACTATTGTGCTGTAAGAAATAAGAAACCTGGGAAGACTTGTATGAACTGAGGCAGAGTGAAGTGAGCAGAACCAGAGGAACAGCTTTAAACAATTTTGAAAGACTTAAGAATGATGATCAATGCAATGGTCAGCCACAATTCCAGAGGACTCATGAAACATGTTACCTCCCACCAGACAGATTATAGACTGAGACATATTTTTTGGCCAATGCAGGAATTTCCACATTTGTTATAAAGACTTTGTTTTTCTTTCTTTTTCAATTATGAGAGGGAGGAGGGGGAGAGAAAATATATTTTTCTATATTTTTCTAGTTGAAAAAATAAAATTAAATAAAACATATACCTTTTACTGCAAGGTAATGACCTGATAAAATCATTCACTTGCATACTCAGGAAGTTCAGCAAGCTTTTCCTGATGCCTCATCATGATGGTGAGGCAAACCTGAGTTTCCCAAAGTGATGCCTGTAGCACTCAAGCTCTGGCAACTTCTGCCATGTTGGAAGGAGTTTCTGAGGACCAGCCTAGCTAAGCAATAGAGAGACCCATCACCAAGCAGACTGATTGCTTGTCATCGAATTCTTTGGCTACGGCAACCTAGTGTGTTTGCCAAAGGCATTTGCCATTGTCATGGAGGAGATCCAGCTCCAAGTCTAAGGGGATGAGGGATTCCCTATGGATGACGAGGGCCTCCAGATGCTCCTGTTTTTGGATGACATTATGCAAAGGGCATCAAGCCCCTGACGCTGCAGAGACTCCTGAGTGAGATCAGAAATCATTCAAAAGAGTTTAGCGCACTTATCAGAGCAGGAAAAACCAAGCGGATGAAGAATATCTATGGTCCAGATGCAGTTGAACGGGGAACCTATAGAGCTTGTCCATCCATATATTTATCTTGAACAGACACTGGCAAAGGGGTAAGTGAATTGTGCCCAGAATTGAAAAGGCAGAAGAAAGCAGATGAATTGACATTTGGGAAATTACAAAGTTATTTTAATGACTCCAAATTTCTTACTGAAACAAAGACCCCTCTTTTTTAATACCACTCTTCTTCCTGTTTTGTTGTACTACTGCATTTATACTAAAATAGAAAGAAGATTGAAAAGATTTTTGTGTTGTAACTCCTAGGGTTTTTGCATTATAATACATCTGACTTAAGTCAAAGAAATGAAGCTCTAACAGTGGGATTTCTCAGTTAGCTGGAAGGGAGTATTTAGGGTGGGGGAGGTGAATAACTTTCCCAGGACCCTTGGAATCATGGTTATAAGAATATCTATTTTAAGGAGAGCCTTAACCCCCCAGTGCTTGAATTGACTAGAACTGAATTATCTTTTTAATGCTGAATGGGAAATGTTGATAATATCCTATCAAGATGTCTGATGTCCCAGGGGAAAGTCATGGTACTGCCTACAGAGAATGCTCAGTGACAAATTAATTGATTGGTGAGAGTACAGGATTCATGGTGAAGGGAATCTTTCCTTATTTTACAGAATGACCTCAGGCATATGACTTAACCTTATCTTTTAAAGTGTCTGTGTATAAAATCATCAGTATTATCATCAGACCCTAGATTGTCAGAATTGAGAGAAGCCTTAGAACACAGGAGGTCAGAGCTGAGAGGGGCCTTAGAACACCAGAGCTCAGAGCTGGGAGGGCCCTTGGAACACAGAGTGTCGGAGTTGGGAGGGTCCTTGGAACATAGAATGTCAGACCTGGGAGGGGTCTTAGAATGCAAAATGTCAGGCCTTCGTCTTGGAACGCAGACAGTCAGGGCTGGGAGGAGCCTTGTGACACCATGTAGGGGTAGGAGGGGCCTTAGAATGCAAAATGTCAGACCTGGGAAGGTCTGTAGAACACAGAAGGTCAGAACTGGGAGGGGCCTTGGAATACAGAATGTCAGGACTGGGAGGAAACTTACATCACGAAATGTTAGTCAAGAAACATTTTTAAGTGCCTACTATGTGCCAGTCTGTGTGCTAAAGCTTTTACAGATACAAATACAAAAAAGAATGACAGTCCTTGCCTTTAAGTTTAATGGAAGAAAACAGCAAAGAAAAGGCAGCGGGAGGTGGCTGAGGGGGAGCACCGAGGCTGACATGATCTTGAAGGAGAATGAAGTCCCTGGGCCGTGATGGCAGATGAAGGGATGTAACAGGGGGGTAAAAAGGGAATGAGTTCCTTTTTTGGCAGTGTTGAGCTTGACATTCCTATGGGAATAAACAATTTTTTTTTCAAAGAAATATAAGAAGATTCATATGAAGTGATACAGAGTGAAGAAAGTAAAGTCAAAGGAACAAAATTATGACTATGGCAATGTCAATAAAGACAATATTTCAAGGCATCAACACTTGGGTCAAAGACAACAGACAATAGGGGTACCATATTTTAAAGATGAAACAAATGCATTTCCTTTCTGCTAAGAATAAGTGAATGACAAATTAGAAAGTGGCATTTTATCAGTGCAATGGCGATCTCAGGCAATTTTGCTTAATTGCTTTCAGGGAGTGTACTTAGCGATGGGGTGGGAAGGGTTTAATAGACAATCTGAAATGTGGCCCTGAAGCTCAAGGTAGAGACTAGGACTGGAGATAAAGACCTTGGAGTCATCTGAGTAGCTATGATAAATGAACCCATGGGGACGGATGAGGAAGGGCGGGGAACAGAGGGAAGGAGAGGAGAGAGAGAATGAGAAAGAGGACAGAGAGAGAAAGACAGAATGAGAGAGAAGCAAGAGTAAATATGGGGGAGAGAGAGAATGAGAGAGATAGAGGAAAGCGACTGAGAGAAGAGAGGGAGAAAGAGGAGAGAACATGAGAGAGAATGAAAAAGGAAGGAGAAAGAGGATGGGAAAGAGGAGAGAGAATTAGAGAAAGAGAGAACAGAAGATTGAAAGAGAATGAGAAGACAAACGGGGAGAGAAAGAGTTGGGGTGGGGAGGAGAGAGACCAGGAGGAAGAGGGCCCCAGGAAAGAGCTTGGGGGTGTGGCCATAGTTAAGGGACAAGATATGGACGATGATCCGTGAAAAGTAAACTGAGAAGGAGCAGTTAGATAGAAGGAGATCTGACAGGGTGCTTGTTGAATAAACGACTATTGAATGAAGAAATGGCTTGCTTTGTATAAAGCTTCCCTCTGCCTTCTAGTTCTAAATCCTATGACCTTTCAATTCCTGTTTCTGACATTTACTAGCTGGAGAATCATGGGCCAGTGAGTCACTGGGATGTCTTCTGCCAAGTGCTTTGCCCCACCAGAGACCATGCCCTAGAGGGCTTCATCAGTTCCTGCCCTGCCCCCCTGCTCTCTTATTCAGCAAGGGCCTTCTGAGGCCCGGTTTATCTAGACTAGACCCGGCTATGCTTTCCTTGACTCCCCAGGCCTCTTCTTATTTTTCTTTTTGTTTCTTCTCCAGGCCTCCCCCACCCCATGCCAGGCCCTTTCCACTTTTGGAACTATGATCAAATCAACACAGACAGCTAGGTGGCACAGTGGATAGAACCCTGGGCCTGGGTCAGGAAGACCTGAGTTCAAATTTGACTTCAGACACTAGCTATGGGAACCTGGGCAAGTCACTTAACCTCTGTTTGCCTCAGTTTCCTTAACTATGAAATGGGGATAATAATAGCACCTACCTGGAAGGGTGCTGTGTGGATCAAATGAGATAATGTTTGTAAAGTACTTAGCACAGTGCCTGGCACATAGTAGGTGCTATATAAATGCCTATTCCTCCCTCCCCCCCCACCTCCTTTAAATACAGCAAAGGCTGTGTCAATCTATTCCTAGGTGGCTCCACTAACCATTCTCTGAACTACTCCCCTCCATATATTGCTTCCCCTCATTAGAATATAAACTCCTTAAGGATGGGGAATTTCTTCATTTTTGTATTTGTATACTAAGTGCTTAGCAAAGTACTTGGAACCTAGTAATTCCTTAACAAATGCCTTTTCATTTCATTCATTCATTTCTTCATTCATTCACTAACTATGAATTGCTATATAAATATCAATTATTATTGATGACAATTAACAATAATTATTCATAATCATCATAAGTTATAATCGTAACAATAACCGTGTGGAGCTTTTACTATAAAATGGGGGAAAATAATAATTGTATTATCTCACAGGGAAGTCATTCTATAGACGGTAAGGCACTATAGAAATGTGAATTATTATTATTAGCAATTATAATAAGTAGTTATTGTAGCTTTTTATGTCTCTTATGTAACACAGCTTACCACCGAGCTATTTCCCCTGCCAGTTTTAAAGAAGGCAGGAACTATGTCTAGCTTGGTATGTCCGTCAGGATTTTGCAGTCATAGTAGACACTTGATAGATGGTTTTTTAATTGGACAGCCGCTCATTAAGCAGCAACTACATGAAAAGAATAGTGCTAGGAATGGGGGATACAAAAATTGTATAGCTCCTGCCCTCAGGGAACTTCCAGTCTAGTTGTGGGGAGATGAATTGTACATAATCAATAAATATAAAGTAAAAGGTGATGGAGGAAAGGAGGGGTTGAAACAAAATGCTTTAGCAAAATTTGAGGGAATGAATGAAGGAATGAATGAATGAACAAGCATTTATCAAATTTCTGCTGTATGCCAGGCATCATGCTTGCCAAAGTTTTTTTTGAGAGTTTCTGCTCTCAAAGATCTTGCATTCTGCTAAGGGAGAGGACATGTAAATGTAAGAATATACAGAATGAAAA